GGCCCGGGTTCGGATCCCGGGTGCGCACCGAGGCACCACTCCTCCAGCCGTGCTGAGGCCGCATCCCACATACAGCAACTAGAAGGATGTGCAGCTATGACAGACAGCTATGTACTGGGGCTTTGGGGTAAAAATAAATAAATAAAATCTTTAAAAAAAAAAAATGTCCTCTCGTAAGGGAATTATTAAATAAACCAAGGAAAAAACACCAAAACCTAAAACCCCTTTGCTCACTTATTCCCCCTTGTACATTTTTAAATTATCTCACGTTTTTTCATTATGACTTGAAGTAGTTTAAAAGGCCATAATTTCTAGTGTGTATTATATTTACGTTAAATACATTTTTGGTCACACCTTAAAATTGCAGGTTTAGATCATTCGGTTTATAGAAAGTATCTACCATATAGTGTAATTTGTAAAGCAGGTTCTCAAACCACTCAGATAAATTGGACTCATTTTTATTCAAGAAAAAAAAAATCTTGTCTTCTTATTTATCTTAAAATACACATGTTAATATGTACCTGTGTTGTAACCACCAGATTTCTGAATTCTAGAAGGCTGGCTGGGTAAATGGATAAGGCTTGGAGCCTTGCCAAGCATTTGTTTCACTGATAAAAAAAGATCTTGCTCGTAATTTTTTTCCACTTTTTCTCTCAAGGGATTTTCCCTCTTATTTATTTGTTGGGTACTTTGGAGTTTATACGTATCAGAACAGTGCACTTTAGTGGGATTTGAGATGGATAAGGACTTTGCCTTTCTTTTATAAAGTGGAGAATTACAAAATGGTGATTTTCAAAGGAGAGGAAAAAAGGAGAACTAAAGCAGATCAATTAGGAAGAGTACAAATAGACATTGAGGATCTGGAAATTGATTTTCCTAAACTTATCCATATCCATCTAACCCTCAGGTTACTGTTGAAGCTTGAAGACCATTGAAATAAGTAGTCTCGTCATAGCATTATTGTGAAATGAATGTATCTATACTTAATACAGCCATCTAAAAGGATGCTTATACAACCATTTGAAAGGAGTAAAAAATATACATGTATTGACCTGGAAAGAATTCTGAGGCATGTTGTTCAGGGAAAAAGCAATTGTTAAAAATATTTTTATATGTAGTATTTATATGATTTGTATATTTTATATATGTATGTGTTTTTTACTTGAGTAAAAAGATGTGGAAGGATGCATACCAAACTGTAAACAACACTTACCTTTTTGGCAGGGGGCCCAGGAATGTGGGGAAGGTGAAAAGAGATTTTTATCATTTATTCTGAATACTCATATATTATTTGACTCTTTTATAGTTGAGAATATATTGTGTTACTAGTATAGAAAAAAATTTTAAGATGTTTAATAATAAAAGGGAGAAACCACTATACTAAACCATTTCTAAGGTCTCTAAGCTCTAAATTTCAAGGAACACTGGCAGTTACTGCACTACTTTAATAGAAATATTAGAATATTTATAATTCATATCTTAAATGATTTTTATGTGAATTCTTTTAAAATATTTTTTAGGTATGGAATATCAAACAAATGATTAAATTGACACAGGAACATATAGAGGCCCTATTGGACAAATTTGGTGGGGAGCATAATCCACCATCAATATATCTGGAGGTAAGCTTTTGAGTATCATATCTGTAATTTTGAGAAGAAAAAAATGAATATATAAAAAAGCATTTGTACTGATAATATTGGTTATCTTAGGAGGTGGGATTAGAAACAGACATGGGAAGAGAGAATTAGTTTTGTCTTTATTATACTTCTTAATCTTATTTCACTTGTTAAAATAAATATGTAGTATTTTATAATTTGGAAAATGTCAAAACTAAGGGAGAAGTTGTATATAAACTTTAAAGTATTACTCTGGTAAAAAACTTATTAAAAGAGAGAGAGAAGGCTTTCTATTGTGATGGTCAGCAAACTAGTTACCATATTAGAAAACGGGAAGAATTTTGTAAATTATCTTTTTTCCTGAACAAATTACAAATTGTCCCCCCCAAATTGGTTTTTGCTTCCTTTTTTCTTTTTTTTTTTTTTTTTTACACGTGCATCAGTGATTCCTTTGAGGAAATCACAAGTCTCAGGTTTTTACTTCCTTATAGATAAAATTTACAATATTTAGATAGCTCGAAATTGCTTACCTTTACTGTTTAATAGTGCCTTGAGGCTTTCGTATCAAGCCTTGAGCATCATTGTAAATTTGAGTTAGTCATTATTTTTAATCCTATGAGGTAGTAGTTACTGTTATAATCACAAATAAGCTTTCTTGGCATTAGTTTCCTTATGTAAGTCACTCAGATTCCACATCGAACAAACTGTTATGGAATCTAGGCAGTCAGGCTCCACGGCCCACACTGCTTACCACTACACTACGTGCTGCCTGTCTCTATAAAAGCTGGCTCCAACTGTAATCACTAGTCATACAGGGAGATAACCCTAAATTACAAATGATCAGGTTACCATTTACCTTCAAGTGCCAGAGATTTTTATGCATCGATTGACAGACTTGTAAACTAAATTTCTAATTTAGTAATCTAGTTACTTTAAAGGGCAAGTTAAACCTTCAGTATTTCATGAGACAGTAAGTTTGCGTTTCTAAAATAAACTTCGAAGTTTGGAAATAACTGCTAATAAGCTATTCTTTTCTTCATATGGCTTATCCCAGAGCATACTGCCAGTTAGTAACATAGCAGTGTGCCCTGAATATTAGTCAGTGTACTTTCTAATATCCCGTGCTATCTGTTTTACTTGTGTGTTTGAGGAGGACAAGCAGAGGTGTCATAAGGAAACAAATAGTCTTGGTGAAAATAGTAATTCTTTGTTCGTCAGAATTAGACAACTTAACCAGCAGTTTTTCTGACAACCATTTCTGTGTCTTGGGAGACTTTTCCCCACCCTCAAATGTAATAATTTGCATCAATAACCGTGTCTCATTTTAGCAGGGATTGACTCCCCCCTCCACACACACATTCTTCAGGCTTTTTACTGTGTGAGTTATGCTAACTAGGACGGTCTACAGCAGACCATACCTCATAGGTTATGTCATTAACATGTAGATTCTTTTTTTTTTTTTTTTTTATAATTTTATTTATTTTTTTTCCCCCAAAGCCCCAGTATATAGTTGTATGTCATAGCTGCACATCCTTCTAGTTGCTGTATGTGGGACACGGCCTCAGCATGGTGGGAGAAATGGTGCGTTGGTGCACACCCGGGGTCCGAACCCGGGCCGCCAGTAGTGGATCGCATGCACTCAACTGCTAAGCAATTAAAAAAAAAAACAAAAATCTCTGCCTTCAAGCAGCTTATATTTTAATCAGGGGAGGTTATTACAGACAGTAAATATATAAATGAGTTAAAACATTGAACTTTTCCCCATTTGATATACTATGAAGAGGAGCCTGGCTGGAAATGACAGTATTCTTCCCTGGGGCAAGTTGACCAGGCCCAGGGAAAAGACCTGTGGGTACTGATATTTGAAGGCCCTTCAGTGAAAAACCAGGTCTGCTGGTTACCTGCTGAGACCCACCATTCTCCGTTCTGTCTCTATGAATTTGATTATTCTAGGAATCTCATACAAGTGGAATTATACAATATTTGTCCTTTTGTGACTGGTTTATTTCACTTAGCATAATGTCTTCAGGGTTCATCCATGTTGTAGCATGTGTCAAAATTTCCTTCCTATTTAAAGCTGAATAACATCCCATTTTATGTGTATACCATGTTTTGTTTCTCCATTCATCTATCGATGGATACTCATCAGTGGGTGGTTGTTTCCACCTTTTGGTTATTGTGAATAATGCTGCTATGAACATGGGTGTACAAATGTTTGAGTCCCTCATTTTACTTCTTTTGGGTATATACCCAGAAGTAGAATTACTGAATCATGTGGTAATTCTATATTTAATTTTTTAGGAATTGCCATATTCTTTTCGATACCAGCTGCATTTTACATTCCCACTAGCAATACATAAGAGCTCCAATTACTCCACCTCCTTGCCAATGCTTGTTATTTTCTGTTTTGTTTTGTTTTTATAATAGCCATCCTAATGAATGTGAAGTGGTATCTCATTGTGGTTTGATTTGCATTTTTCTGGTGACTTAATGATGTTCAGCATCTTTTATTTATTTATTTTTGTGAGGAAGATCAGCCCTGAGCTAACATCCGTGCTAATCCTCCTCTTTTTGCTGAGGAAGACTGGCTCTGAGCTAACATCTATTGCCAATCCTCCTCCTTTTTTTTTCCCCAAAGCCACAGTAGATAGTTGTATGTCATAGTTGCACATTCTTCTAATGTTCAGCATCTTTTTATGTGCTTATTGGCCATTGTATTTCTTCTCTGGAGAAATGCCTATTCAAGTCCTTTGCCCATATTTTAATTGAGTTGTTTGTTTTTTTGTTGTTGAGTTGTAGGAGTTCTTTATATATTCTGAATATCAATCCTAATCAGATATATGATTTGCAAATATTTTCTCCCATTCGGTGGGTTCCCTTTTCACTCTGTTCATAGTGTCTTTTGATGCACAAAAGTTTTTTATTTTGATAAAGATTAAGTTATCTATTTTTCCTCTTGTTGCGTGTGCCTTTGGTGTCATATCCAAGAAATCATTCCCAAATCCAATGTCATGAAGCTTTTCTCCTGTGTTTTCTTCTAAGAGTCCTACAGTTTTAGCTCTTATGTTTAGGGCTTTGATCCATTTTGAGTTAATTTTTGTATATAGCATAAGGTAAGGGTCCAACTTCATTGTTTTGCATGTGTATATCCAGTTCTCCAAGCACCATTTGGAAATATCCTATTGAAGGGATATTTTGACATGTGCCCTTGTCAAAAATCATTTGACCATATATGCAGGAATTTATTTCTGGGCTCTTTATTCTATTCCATTGGTCTATCTGTCTTAACTTTATTCTAGTACCACACTGTTTGGATTCCTCTAGCTTTGTCCATTCCTGAAATCAGGAAATGTGAGACTTTCAACTTTGTTCTGCTTTTTCAAGATTATTTTGGCTACTTGGGATCCCTTGAGATTCCATATGAATTTCAGGATGAATTTTTCTATGTCTGCAAACACATTGGGATTTTGATATGGATTGCATTGAATCTTTGAGTAGCATTGACATCTTAAGAGTCCTTAACTCTTAAATATGAATGGACAACTAAGAATATCCAGGTATTTGAAGAAGGCTTTTAACAGGAAAGATAATGGCAGAAATAGTCAGAAGGAACTCAGAAACAGTGCAGAAAACAGAAGAAAACTTGAAAATAACTATGATTAACATCAGAGATAAGGTATACTAATGTGTTCCTGTTCCGTGGCTGTACTAAAGAAGCGAAAGTATTAGAAAGCAAGAAAGAGCTCTTGGAAATTAAAATGGTAAATTAGAATAGTATAGCAGAAAACTTAAATGTATATGTGTGTGTCTGTGCATATAAATAAACAAATAAATGTTGTAAGATATAAAGTTAAGGAAATGTTCCAGAAAGAATAAAAACAGAGATGGAAAATATTAGCGGAAAGATGGGAAAAATTAGAGAATAAATCTAGGAGATCTATAATAATTACAAATGCTTCTAGCTGCAAGAAACAGAAACATCCAATAACAAGTTGTCCAAACAAATAGAAGTTTTATTTTTCTCTCCCATAACAGGAAGCATGCAGGTAAATTATTCTAAGATTGGTTCTACAGCTCAACGTTGTCAGACGCTGGGGTGGATCTCTGCGGTCTTTTTGGCTTTTCTGTCATGACTGCAGTAGATCTGAGAATCATGCCCTCAAACAATGCCTGAAAGCGGGAAGGCAGGGATCACAGAGGTTCTCTTGTGTACTGAGCTCTTTCAAGGAGGAAAATCTTTCCCAGAAATTTCCTACAAGTCTTTCCTTTACATCTTAACGACCAGATTGGAGTCACATACACCCCTAGACCAGTGACTATGCTTACATTTCCTGAAATAAGAGGCTAGAAAGTAAAAATTTTTCAGTATTCACAGTGTAGCTTCAGATTAGTGTGTGCACTAGCAAATAGAAGTTGTATTGTAGTTATTCCATAGCATTTCAACAGAAACCCCTTTGATGTTTCCATAGGAAGACAAATCTTTACCTATCTCTGCATCTCTTCCTTATAGCAAAACAGAGAAACATCAGTTATATCACCATCAGAAATTCTCTTGATTTTCTTTTTTCCATGTACTAATTTATTTAAAAACTAGCTTTTAAGTTGTTCTAGATTTTCTCCTACTGACAGATGAATAATAATTAATATTCTCTTGATTCCCTTAATGATAACTACAGTGAAATGAGCTATAGTACTCTAATTTCAAATTTATCTTTTCAGTCTTTGGTTACCTTTTTTCTACCATCATCCAAAGGAAGAAAAGATAAGTTTGCCCTGAAAAGTCATTTCCCAGAATTTCTTCTTTTTCTCCCAATTTTTCTGTATTCATTCATCCAGCAGATTACTTGAGTGCCTTCTGTCATATAATGCTAGATGTTTTTATAGTAGTAGAAGATTCTTGATATATTGGAGCCCAGAGGTAAAGGGATAGTGTTTCTGGAATCACCCTACGTATCTAGTGGTACACACTGAGTCTTAGCTACCACCGAATTTATATGTATGCT